AAAATTGGCATTATGGCGTGAGGATATTGCTCAGACAGTGCAGACGAATCTTCAGATGTACACTTGCCAGTGAACAGAAAAAAAAAAATTTGAGTCTGTGAACACACAATTATCTCACTCCAGTAGGGATGCTGGTGTTCATGGTGGAAATGCATATCAAATATGCAGAACTAAACTAAAGAAAAACGCAAATACAATCAGATTGGCTGTGTTTGCTTGATTGATCCATCTGTATGTGCCAGCTTCTTCAAGTACAAAGGCAAATGCACTAATCCACAAAGTCTGGAATAAAGTGACTTAAAGGCAGCTGAAAGATTTTACTTGAGTTTATTCCAGGTTGCTCCTACTTTGGTTATGTTGACACCATTGAAAATATGAACATTATTAAAAAAGATCATATGTGAGTGAGTTTAGAAAAGTTCTCTACGCTAGAAAACAAGAACTTGAAACAAGAAGGCAATATGAAGATATAATAAGTGGTATAGAAGATAATTAGATGAAAGTAAGGCAGACAAGCTTCAAATTAAGTGTGGAGGAGGATGCAGAGACAGACGCTACAGATGTATTTTCCAAGTAGCTAACAGCAAAACTGTGGCAGCAATCTCTTTCTTGGTCGCACATCTCTCACAAAATATGTAATAACAAGTTGTAGTGTGGCCCAAGTTAAACTGACCGTGACATTTCTTCCCTCTTCACCTTTAAGAAAACATTTTTGGATGCAAGACCCTGACGTGCACTGGGTCTGAGGAAAGCCTTCAGTGCCAGGAGCTGATATTTTGTCTGATTAAAAGCTTGTGTGGTTTCTGCTGATAGAGTTCTCTGATAGCTGCAGAGCTATGTTTGTTGACCTCTAAAATACCGGTGATTGAATGTTTTGGAAGCAGCTGACATTTTCGTCTGCTCTCATTCCTCACCCAAGATGCCTCTTCATTCCAGCAGCTTTGTCTGTATCAAAATCAGACAAAGTCAAACAAACACACACACACACACACACACACACACACACACACACACACACACACACACACACACACACACACACACACACACACACACACGCACACACTATTGAACCAGCTTGTTGCTGTCCCTTTTTCTCACCCAGGAAAGTTCACATGAACAGCTCCAGTCAGAACTCGCAGTTGTGCTTGATTAAAAAAAATCTGACATCTCATACGCCATGTGACTTCTGTCTCCTTGGTGACGCTTGAATCAGATTGCCCTTGCCAGCATGACAACTGCAAGCCAGATAGATGCATGGCAACTCCCACTGTGTCAGTTGTATATGTCATCAGTTATTCATATTTGGCACATGTTGCTGTCACTGTATCCTCCATACAAATGGCTGAGGATTTATTAAAGAGGATTTTTGAATGACTAGCGTGAAATGATGACAGTTATGATAACGGCCAGGAGTAGCTGCAGGGCTTACACCACAGGAAAGCAGCAGTCTCAATGTAAAAGCCCCTGCGGTCTTGTAAAGAAGCATCAATGTTGTTTTTTTAATTATTTTATCAGCATAGAAAGTATGTTGAATTTAATCCCCAAACGAAGAATCTATTTCTTGGTTGTCAGTGGGATAGAAATGTATTTGCTGTCTTGTTAAATGGAGTGGTCTGTAGAGAATGAAGTGCTGGAATGACAAAGGAGAAATACGCTCCATCAAGTGATAGCTAAGATTCATGGTTTTATTCATGTGCCTGACCGTGCAATATTATCAAAACAAAACAACAAAAAGCAGAATTGATTTCATTTTGAAACATGAACTTGACATCATCCTTTCAGTTTTGTGTATCTTCCGCCAGTGCAGAAACAAAACAAATATGATTAAAAGGTAGCAGCGACAGCATAAAAAACGCACACACAGCACACAAACATGAAAGAAACGTACATACATATCTTTAAGTACAATTATCATAACACAGATAAAGCAGGATTTTCATCTGTGCAGTTCCAGAGTGTGAGACAACAGCTGAAAGAAAAAAGAGAATAGCTCTGAGTTTGTTGAGAGCTCCCTTGACAGGGCGCAGAACAGGCTATTACTTCATATTGCACCATTTAAGCTGTTTTTATTTTGGACTCTCAAGCTCCTTCTACCATCCAACACTGTCTCAGGGGATAACAATCAGCCTTCAACAAAAAAGGCAGACAGCTAAGAGAGTTGTATACAGTTTGTGTGTCTATGTGTGTGTTCGGGTGCTTGGATAAATGAGGTAATTCTCTCTTTGTGTTTGCATCAAGAGGCAGTGGCTGTCACTTGTTCTCGGTTGGCTTCGACTTTTCCAAAAATGCTGCTATATTCAGGTTGACAATGTGTCGTCTTGGGTGTCACCCTCTCACCCTCTCACCTTCACGACCTCTGAGACATCAAGATGACTTCCAGCCGCTCCACCTGGATGTCAAACTGTGTGTCATATTGCCTCACATTTACATTCAAAAACTTGATCTGAGCAAATGAAGGCAGAGAAAAACATATACAATTTCCACATCTCAGATTATCATAGTGGGTGCTGCCATGACAAGCACATTGACTCACCGTTTTTGGTAACCTGTTGACCGCTAAAGGCCTCTGCCCTCTTGGGTGACCATAGCTCCCTCTAGTGGTGACGGATTTTATAAGACTGATGTGGAGAGACGAGAGAGAATAAAAGCATGTAGCTCTTGATTCAAGAGAAGAAAAGAAGGCACTTCTGTCAGGCCAGTATCCTCAGCTTGTGAGAAAGGGGAATATCAAAGGCAAAACAGGGTCACGAGAGAGAGGAGTTGAAGAGAGATTCAGTGAGCTGAGGTGAGTGGAGGCAAAAAGTGCTTCAGAAAAGACTTTTAGAATTCAAGAGAGACGTTGCGTAATTTGTGCAGATGGTGGTTGGAGTGTGTCTCTCCCCTCATGTCAACCCAAACCCTGCCAGGACACATTATCCTCTTTTTCAGGAGGGAACAGGGCTAAAGTTGAGCTGTCTGTGTGTTTTTGTGAACATACATGCACAAAGCCGACAGCAGTCAAAGCTAGCATGCATGACTATATTGATCATCTTAGTGTTAGCAGCATGCTAACATATTTTTTCCTTGAGTTATCAAGCCAAAGAAATTCGTTGATACTAAAATTTTGACTATAGTACTACATAAACAGTCATAGGATTTAACAAAAGTTTTGAAGTTTTTTGAAGGGAACATTTCTGTACCTTATTTCAGAGCAAACCATTCAATTATGTAGTTATCCCAAGATTATTATCCTCATGTTGGCACTAGAGGAAAAGCCAGGGGCTCATGAAAGTTGTTAGGATTTATTTGGCAATTCATCCAGAAGTTGCCCAGAAGCTTTAATTCAAAGCTAAATGTCTTTATCCGGTGGTACAAAAAGAAAAGTTTGAGGATCACTAATCGACAGTTGAAACTAAAGACCTTAAGGAGGGCACCTTGCCACAATAAAACAGATACACAATGCTTATGCCTGGGTCCTGCACTGAAAACCTTAATGGAATGAGTCAATGCGAATACCAATTGAAGTTTCAATTCGCTTTTGGATTAGTGACCTTCATACTCCAGATAACTGTAATATTGCATTCAAGATGGTATACCTTCTATAGGAGTAGTTTTAACACATTTAAAAGTCAGGGATACAGTTTTCCCTTGAGAAGTAGGTACACCACTGTTTAAGTGTGTGCACTTGTAATGAAATGCCCCTGTAGCTCAATTTGTTATGGAACAATTGCTACATGATTTCTGTAAATCTAATCCATTCATTGAACATGAAGGACAAAGCATAAAGTTGATGCCAAATCAGATCTGGAATGAGATCATAGCAAAAGAGATATCCGGCTCACACAATCCATGCTGGCAAACTGGGAACCATAATCTTTTAGCAGCTATAAGTTTGGGATATTGGGAAATAGAGGGATTATAAATTAGGAATTGCTCTTAATGCATTGCATCTAAAGTCAAAACAAGAATCACTGTAGAATACGTTAAAGTTCACACTTTATAAAGACTAGGGAGTTCTAGCCTGGCTGCCATTGTGCAGTGAAGTTTGTCCCCGTTAAATATACTCTTTGTTGCATAGATACAAGCATTGATTTGCCTCTCGAATTCAATGTTTCTTCGTTTTCTCTGACAGGCATTGCCATGGAAACACAAGGCAGTGGAATTACTGTAAAGTTAAGAGAGAGGATGTAAGAAGGAGCCAGTCCACCAGACTGTGAAGGACTGGTATAATTTCAGACGAAAGTCAAAGCTACATCATCTCTGTAGGGCTGAGACGTCTACAGCTTTTCTTGAAGGTCCTCTTGTACTTTTTGTCTCTCACATCTTTTAGAAAAACACTTTTAGTTTAACCTTACATTGTAGGCCTACATAACAACCCTAAATGTCTTAGGAAATATGGTATCTTTGCATGTTTCCACAAAAGTAATAGCAAGGATTGTATCCTATTCTTGTCTCTCACACAGATGGGGTGTTAAACATTGATAGGGCTGATGCAGGGAGAAAGAGAGACAGAGCAAAACCGAGAGACTCTACTTTCCTCTCCGTTAGTTTTGATTTGATTACTCTTCAGCTTCCAATTTTGTGGAGTAGGGACATCTGTTAAAATGCAGCAACTGCAGACGTTCTAAAACTGACAGGCATTCATGTGCAAACATAAAAAAGTACAATCCAGCTTGTGAGTAGTTAGACAGTGAGACATGTTTTTATGTTGGGCTGACTTTAATGTATTATTTAGCATATACTTACCATAATACATGCTATGTAGGAAAAATGCTGAACTACACCTTGCCTGTTTAGGTGGCGTTTACCTTCAGTCTGGTCTTCTATAATTAAGAAATGCTAAGATGATGTTAGGATAGTTACATGGCTAATCAAGACTAGACCTTTTAGGTAAAATGCTCGGGTTTTATATTTAAAATGTTTGATCTGCCGTGTTGTCCTACATTGTGGGACCATGAGAAAAGGCACAATTCATATTTTGCTCAACCATTACAGATGGGAAAAACCTTGACACATTCTTGAAAGTCAGATTTTTCATCTCATAGTAAATGTTTAATTAAAAATCCAATGTGATTGGGCCAGCCAAAACAAACAAAAATCAACAAGCGCTGTTTGCACAGACTCTACACACAAACACATATTCAGGAAGCGCAGACTCCTTGAAACACAGTCAAAACATACAACTTCCACGTCTCATCTATATAAGTTGTATTGTGCATTCAGAATCACATGTAAATGTTGTATGGCTGATATGCACTTCAATTGCATGAAATTAACCTCAAACTGTGACTTGTCTATTCAAATCCTGTCACACTTGCATCTCAGCAGTTTCTCAGACCACAGAGGCATCCTGTGCTTTTGCAGAACTACAGATCACTGTCATTGCCCGTCATGCTTTCAGAAAAAAACACATTTCGTCTGCTTAGCTGCTCCCTTAGACATGCTATGCTCTGACTTCTCCCCATCAAAGACATAGTATCAAGCTGCCTGAACGATGTTACATAAAAAGGAATCTGTCATTCACGGTATGTTGCTTTGTAGGTGTAAAGCCACAAAGTTGATCTCCTGCCTAGCTCAAGTGTCCATTGCAGGCAGTAAGAAGCTGGTGATTATGCAAAGATGTTTTAGCTGCAAAAGGAAAAGTGCCTTATTAATTATCATGAATACATTCAAGAATTCATAAAGGCAGTAAGAACATTTCAAAAAACGTGTATTGACTATTATCAAAAGAATTATTTAACAAATAATTATTAAATAAAACATAATAAAAAATGCTGTAAATACAGTGAAAATGTTTGACTTATAAAACATTGCATGTATTACATTACACAAGAATATCAGTGCATGCGTTTTTTTCTCTCTTTTTCTCCTCTGATCTTTGAGCTTCAATCGTCTGCAATGGGTTTGGTGTTAAGAGCGTGTTGCTCAGCCCACAGATTTTCACCAGACTTATTTCCTCCTGAGACCTTGCTCCGGCATGTCTTCAGCACCAGTAGGACTATGACCAACATTGAGCAGATGACAGTAACTATGAGCATCCCCATCCAGATATCAGACTTGCATTCTGGCTCGGAGATGGCTTTAACGAATCCTGCAAAGAAGTGGACAAAATAAAAAACTTGACTTGCATCCACGTAATGCATGACTTACCATGATTTCCAAACAATGGAATTTGCTGAAAGATACTACTAGTCACGTTATGATGTGCTTACCTTCATCATAGAAATGAACAGTCAAATGTCCTGACTTTTCCACAGCAACCTTTCTCCACCCAAGAGAAAGAGATAGGAGCCACTCTTCTACCTCACAGAAATACAGGCCACTATCTTCAGGGCTTGTCTTTGAGACTGTAAGGCTGAATTGTTTTGGCAAAGGGTGGCCAAATCTTAGCTTATCACCCTTCCCAAGCCTGTCTTGTAGGGTGGCGTTACGGTAAATTGTGAATATGGGGCGTTGTTCCGTTTGTGACTCTTTCTGCCAAAACCATGTGACCTGGAGCTCAGATTCATTGCTGGATTGTTTGGTGATATGACAAGGGATTGTGAAATTCTGGGATCTGGTCAGATTCAAATCCCGTTCTTCCTCCACAACAGACAGGTTGATGTCTGTCAAAAAGCACAGAGATAAAAAATAGTACACAGTTTATTCAACTCTAGTTTGACCAGGCCAATCCATCAATATCACTAATATAAATTTAAATTCCTAAATGCACGGACAGACATTGAAGAAGCTTAAGTAAGGGCAGAAACACAAAACCATAAAAAACATACTGGCGCAAAACACATGACAGCGATTAGAGAAGTGGTTATTCTGCTGAGAACAGAACAATCCCACCAGACAAACGCAAGCAGACAAACAAACACACCATTATAAGACATTATAATGTATTATTGACTGCATGTATTATGGGAATAGCTCAATATTTGTGCTTTATAGGATCATTTGCTTTTTCTTGCCTTGATAAAAAAGCCAACAATGTTGTTTACCAAAATGGTCAAACTGTTTCATTACACACCCTAAAAGGAATAGCCACATTTAAAATCATGCCTACAAAATCCTTTAAATCACGAGATCATACCTGTAACATTCACAGTCAGCAAGATGGGGCCAGCGCTGTCAGAGGCCTTTTGCTGCCAGTGACCTTCCTGATCCAGCTGGTATTGCTCCACCTGACACTGGTAGGTACCATTATCCTCCTCATGGGCCCTCTTTATTCTCAGATAAAAGCTTCTCTGGGTGGGTCTGGAGAAATGAAGCCGCCCCTGCAGTCCTCTGAGCTCCTGGTTCCCTGGGTAACTCAGCAGGCCTTTGTGGTCAAGCTCCACCAGGGGGCTGCGGACCGAAGAACCGTGTCCGGTGTATAGCCAAGTAACTTTGTAGAAAAAAGATGGACTGGATGCACCTGAGATGATGTTACACTTCAGCTCCACTTCGTCTCCCTCCCTGGCAGTCAACCACTGCTCTTTCTTTTCTAATTGAAGGTCATTGGCTGGAGAATTAGAGTAAGCACAGAAAAAGAAATTGTAAATTAAGAAATGCTATCTATCCATTCATCCATTCATCCATCCATCCATCCAGCAAATGACAAATAGAAATAGATAAATATGGAAATCTGTCATTTGAAATATGGTAAGCTTTGAACTTTGACAGACCATACAGTATAGAGTTCTATAGAAACACTATATATACTATAACATTGTTTATATCAAACGTGTTGGGAAAAATGGGTTTCCTAGGCAAATTGTAAGGACTTCATGTATGTGAATACAAACTTACCAGGCTCAATAACTGTGAGCTCTGTGGTTTTGGAAACTGGTGAGAGCTGATACCAGTCACCATGAGGATCTTGAAGCCACTCCACCACCTCACAGACATATGAACCATTGTCTGAAATTCGAGCTTGCCGAATATTTAACTCAAAACTGGGGCCTTGAGTGCGCTTCATGCTGATTCGCTGACTGTGGCTCGGTTGTACATTTGGTCCGAATGTAACTAGAGCATCCCTGTCTGATTTCATAATCATCGTACTTTCTGCCTGCTTCTGCAGTAGCCAGGTGACTGCATAGTGAGTGGGAGCAGAGGGTTTTGAGTTGACTGAGCATTTTATTTTGATGTCAGTGTTGATGTTTTCTGTCAAGGCAGGGGTTGGCGTCAGATCAAGTTTGCTCGCTAGGACAAAGAGGGAAATATAAGTCATACATGGTTAGAAACTTAAATAAATGAAATGCACAATGCAGCTTTAATCCAAAATAGCCCTTAATATGTGTAGCATACAAAAGGTCAGCTTACTTGGGTTCAGCACCGAAATAGCCACCAGGTTGGATAGAGGCAGCTTCTTATATGCATTATCCAGGAAAACAGAAACTCTACACTGGTAGATTCCCACCTCACTTTGGCTCACACCGTTGATGAGCAAATAGTGAAAGACTACATTCTTTTGTTTCTTTACTTTCAGCTGGTAGCGGCTCTGGTCTCCAGACCAGCTGATGGCACCATCATAGTACATTGTCAGGATGTTATCTATGGTTGAGGCATCACGCTGCAGGCTCCAAGCCAGTGTAATTGGTACAGGTGGCCCTTTGACCAGGCACATCAACTCCACATTTTCTCCCACAGTCACATTGTTGTTGCGACTTATCAGTGACACTTTCACAAAAGATTCTGTAACGTTGGAAAATAAAAAAGCAGAAGTTGATGATCATACAATTGTCATGCGGTCATGAGTGTTTAAAGTAAACAAGAGGTGTGTGTAAATGACATTTCCAACATACTGTCCGTCTCGTTCAGTTATTGTAATTCGCACAACATTATGGTATAATTTTCAGTTCTAAAACAAAAATGCATATTATATGCAAATACGGTATGCAGTGAGGTACTTTAAAGTCTACTCAGCAAATGCATGTTAAAGCCCTTGAAGTGAAACCTGCTATATTCATTACATCATAGAGCATGTAGTGTTCAGCAGAACATAAAATATCCATGTGTTTTCTTTTCTTAAAGGGGGTTAAAGTGCACAGTGTGTTCTGTTTAAAACCTTAAACAGTTTTCCTCATGACTTTGCAAATGTCAAGGTATGTGAAAATGTTTCCTGAGGTGACGCAATAGGAAGACATTGCAGTTCTAAAAGGGATAGTGTTATGTGGAGCAAGATTGTGCTCAGTACATTTCTTCAAATGACATTGATATTTCTTGCATGCGAAAGATGTTGGGCTAAACATACTTCTGAAAGAGATAAGAAAGATTATTGGACTCATAACTGAACTGTTGGTTAGAAGGTAATCAAGGTTTGTTGAAAATCACTGATTATGTTTTCAAACAGGTAATCAGACAATCTATGTCATAAGAGGAACCTGGAGTGTCAATATAACGGTTTCATCATACATTTTTCTTGAATAATTTGTACCACACAGAGAGAGCCACGTCTTACCCGAAGGAACCACTGTCACAGTGGTCGTCTGTGATTGGCTGTTGGTCTTGCTGTTGCTTTCCCACTCAGACACAGCACACTCGTAGACTCCTGCATCAGAAGGTCTGACCTCATCAAGCTCAAGGATGAAGGTGCCAGCCGCAGAACGCGTTGCATTTACTTTGTGACTCATGAACTCCGCTTTTTCCACGACACCCTCCTGACTTAGACTAATGACTTTGGTGAAAATGGCCGCTGATGTGGATGTCGGTTTGCGCTGCCAGGTGACAGAGAGTTGACCTGTGACCCCATGCACTTTACAGGTGAGCATCAGCCCATAACCTTCGTTAACACCCACAGTGTTTTCCATTTCAACTGAGAACCCACTTTCTGTGATAAGGCAAAGCAAAAGATAGTTAGTGATTGTGTTGAAGAAGATAATAAGAAAACATAGTAACTTTATTATTAAAATAATCATGTATTATCTCATTAATAGTAATAATAACTTGATAAAATAAAGATTATATATCTTAAAATCCAAGGTACATCCTGAATAAAATTAAACCCTGTCTATATAAATGTTTGTGTATATAAATGTTTGTGGGGGTGCTAGTGGAGCACGATCACAAACTGTTCGTCAGAGTCTCACAGCGGGGTTACTGCGGAGCGCATAAAGCAGGCCCTTCACGCGATAGCAGAACGAACAGGTACAGGAGAGGTAGAGCGAGGGATCATTGTCCACTAGTTAATCGATCGCAGATGGCGTCGTGCTCGCGGACCTAAATGGGTTGCGTAATATACTTTGGCGGACGTTAATATACCTGGGCGGCCCGCCCAAAGTCTATGTATATGTGTGTCTTAGACTGACCTGTGGTTAAGATGCTGATCTCCTGAGAGCTGGAGTCCTGGGGAGCTCCCTGTGTAAAGGCACCATCTGGACCTCTGTCCTGGAGCCATGCTCTGCAGATATACTGGCCTTGGTCCTCGGTTCTGACGTGCTGCAATATGAGAAGGTAATCTCTGTCCCCTATCCGAGATGCTCTGAGCTCTCCTTCTTTCACTCGCCCACTGTACTGGGGCCCCACAGACTGAATGCCTGTAGGGTCAATGCGGACCAGCTCAACATTTCCTCTGAGCCAGGCTACAGAGAAGAACCTTTCATTGAGGTTCTGCGTGTCAACATTGCAGGACAGTGACAGCTCTTGCCCCTTTTGCAGAGTCACCGCCTGTGCAGAAATACTCACCGCCAGAGACGACGTGTCTGGCAGGACTTCTACCGGAAGCAAAGAATAACCAGAGTGAGACAACCACAGTAACAAACATCCTGCCATGATTCCACAATGGCATAAAAGAGAAAGAGTTTAGTGAATACGTCAACCCAAATATTTCATTTTCATGATTCTTACCTCTGGCTTTGACATTCAGGGTAGTTTCCTTTGCAGCTTTCTCTGCGATGGAATACCAGGATTGGTCAGATTCTTGAATCCACTCCTGAGCTTGGCAGTAGATCCTGCCTTGGTCTGACAGTTTGAGCTGAGCCATGTTTAGCTTGTATGTGGTCTCCCCCAATTTATCTAACCTTATGTGTCCAGCTTGGTAGCGCCCTTCAAAACCCGAACCTGGGCTCAGTGTGAAATCTCTACCCAGAGAAATGATAGGCTTACGATCCTCACCGTCTTTGTGGAGATACCAGGCAAAAGACAGATGGGTGTGCTGGATGGTGTTGCTGGATGCCTGGCATGTTAAAGTGAGAGCATCACCCTCATTATAGCTCAGTGTGGGGGGGGAGGCAGGTGATGAAACACTAAGGGAGTTGTCAATCACTATGGGACCACATCAGAAGCAGAGAGAAAGAAAGGAAAGTCATATACTTTTGCCATCTTAGTTTACTGCGCTGTAGTAAGATTCTTACATTCAAAAGTCCACTTACCTTTCACTGTTGTCTTAACACTGTATCTTCCATCATAATTAGCTTCATGGTTGACTACAGAGCATTCATATTCCCCTTCATCACCTTTCTCTAGTCGTTGTATCTTAAAGAATACTGAGTTTGGATTTTCATGTTTCAGAGTAATTTCGTCGCTCCTCACGCGTGATTTATACACCGAATAGCTGAAATCTAGGTCTCCGGTGCTGATGATGTTGATTTCGATTGCTTTTGCAGGCTTCTTCACACGGAATTGAATTTCTTTAGTAATGCTATCATCTGTGAAGCCACTCACATTGCAAGAGATGGAGAGTTCAGAGCCCACCACACGATACAGAGGCCCAGCCTGCGCTTCGGTGTTCACTTTTGCTTCCCCTATTTGATGCACAGACAAAACACAGATACAGATTTGAGTTACTGCCACTTACAGTGTCAGTCTGTTTTATAAGTGTGCTATGTTACAGGGTCTAACCTTTTGTTATTTGTAATGACATTTTATATTGCTTTTAAAAAAAGAGGCAAGACAAAGAACACCATCAAAATCAATCAAAACAATACTAACAAAAAAGAACAAGGAAAAAAGAAATACATAAATGAATAGACAGGTGCAGGTAGAATATCATGTCAACATTACTTAGGTAGTGCCAAATTATGTTCGGTATAATTCTCAGTCCTACATAAAGATGATATTAACAACCGGAGCACTATCAGACCCTATTTAATAATAATTATCATAAAAAATAATATCAATACAATACTCTCATAAACCAATGTTTTATTTTCAACTCCAACTTTGTTAGCTTCGCAACCTTTGTTTTTTGTATTGCATAGGTATGTGAAGAAACACATTGTTGCCTTTAAGTTGCTTTCCACATTGCAGGAAGTCAAACCTTTTTGAGACCAGAGTGTAAAGTAGGTTATAATAATCATTGAACATGCAATGCCTGCAAATAGTGGGAACCCACTCTTAAAGGACATTTATTTGTAACTATAATAAAGGAAGTAATTGTTGCCGCTTCTCCAGACTCAAGTGATTTGATAGTAATGTATTAACCTGCTTCAATAAAATTATATGAATAGGCAGATATAAGAAAAGTTATTTAACAATTATGAGTAATTGAGTTCAGCCACACAAAATATCTGTAAATGCAATTTTTCGTGTTAAAATAAGTAACACAAATCCTAGTGAGTATGTTAGAATGATCAGGAGGATTTAGCTTCATATGGTTTGGTGGTTCTTTTCTTTCTTCCTACTTATTAGTATTTATTTATTCTTACTTATTAGTATTTTACTCAAAATGGACATAATATAGGCTCCTTTCTTTAAATGACTATTTATTTTATTTTCTGTTTTATTACTGTTAGACTACCATCATTTCACACATCATGATCACTGTCCAGAATGAAATCCAACTGCAGGTATTCAATGTACTAGCCTACTTACCACAGTGCAGAAGTAGTCCCAGACACAAGAGCAAGTCATTGGCCCTCAAACAAGTTTTCTGGGAACACTTCATCCTGAATCTGCCTCAGTTGTAGCACAGTGTTCACACCATGAGCCCTGAGTCAGTCAGTCTCTCGTGAGAGAATACATGTGTCTGTGCTGAGACAAGTGGTTGATGCTTCCTGTACTGAAGGTACACTAAGAGGAAGTCTGACATATTTCCTGCACACAGTTGCGTTGCAGATGTTCTTGTAGATCTATTAGTGATAATATAATGTCTCATGACCGTGCAGGTATTGTGTGGTGGAGTGTTTAAAAACAAACAAATAAAAAGCACACACCCACAAATGAGCTTTGTTCTACTCAGGATTTAATGTGGGTTACACACTCATTTGAAAAAGCACATTGTCCTCGTTTGGGCTCATGTAGGCTACATCACAGTTTGACACCAGCATCAAATTTGCTTGGCTACAAAACCAATTGGACAAAAATACGCCTTAAACAGACTGAGAGAAATCATGGTGAGTGCTAATTTGACCTTATTCTTACCGCAAATAATGGGAAGTGAATCTTGTGACGTTAGGTGATTCACTCTGTCTGCAGACATCGACACCCCTCCATGTCTCAAGTTTTAGGGCTAAGAACGAGCTACAGCAAAACAAATGTAAATACATATTTCAGAATAAAATATACGGTTCCCAAATTATGAATTTACATGATTAACAATATGATAATCCGATCATTAAACATTGTGGAAGATAAAGGGTAAATTGTTTGAATTTGCGTTGCTAGGAAACAGCTTGGATCCAAGTTTGGCCTATTTCGCCAAACATTTAAACATGAAATAACTTCAGATTGTGTTTGAACGGTACTGCAGACCAACGAGGCAATAGTGCCACTTAGTGGAGAAGATGAAATCCTGCATTTCTGCTGCAGAGCTGTCGGTCATATTCTAATTTCACCATCTAGTCTGAGCTATTGCTTTGATAGTGTCAACACATGCTGTAGACTATCGGTTCATAGGAGGTAAAGATATTATACTAGAGTCCTTTATTGATCTGAGAGGAGTCAGTAGTACAGACAGACTTAGAGGAAAGGAAAACAGATGAAGAAGCTATAAGTTACATCTATGGCATACATTTTTATTTTTTTTATTTATAAAACCCAATGTATAATATAGGGTGCTCAACTAGTATAACTTGCATTTCATAGAACTGTGGAACTATTTGTGCATTAGAAGTACAGCAGTGTCAGTGCAGTAGCCAATACATTAGAGTATATTGGTTGTATAGCCCTCTTTAATATAATACATATGCATGCAATTAACACATGGTACACCATTTTATGTCTTTTTTTTTTTACCTGATTAAACAGATTTGAACCTTTTTCCAAGACCTATATTCTGACTGGTTTATAACTTCAGTCAAAACTAAGAAACTTTATAAACTGTGTCATGCTGCAATGACAGTTTATTCCCTTCGGTTAAGACGCTGAGTGTTATTTGCAGTATTCTATATTCGGTGCAATCCTTTGGAAGAGACCTGGCGTCTGTGGCTTCTGAGTAAAATATTGTGTAACTTAGGGGAAATGTGCTCAGCGCAAGAAGAGGAAGTGTCTACAAACATGCAAGTTGTGCATGTTGCTCACAGAACAGAAATAGGAAGTATGAAGAGTACAGGAAAAAACAGATCCACAGCGACACAACTGTTTCAACTGTAAACCGTAGAGGTCTTTTATTATAGTGCAGGGGCAACTCAAGTAGCTGTTCTTCTGAGTTTCTTAGGGGCTTCTGGCATAAAAGATGAGTGAGACACTGGAAAGGACTACAGACTGTCCTTTGCTACTTGTTGATGAGGCCAGCCGAGTCCAGGGGGAAAACAGTCAGACGGGCTCAACTGAGTTACGTTGGGAAGATGGAGGTCTACCTGTGGAGCTGCAGAGAGGGATGGAGACCCTACGAGTGAACAGAGAACTGACCGATGTGGTGCTGCGTGTTCAGGGACATGACTTCCCTTGTCATAGAGCCATACTTGCTGCTGCCAGTCATTACTTCAGGTAAAATAAAACCAGTACTGTCTAACTCCACTGTGACGGCACTGCTAGTGTGACTGAATTCATGCTTTATTTCTGTAGGGCTATGTTTTGCAATGGTCTAAAAGAGAGCCATGAGGAGTGTGTGGAAATAAAGGGTTTGGACAGTGGGACGATGCAGTCTCTCCTGGAGTATACCTACACCAGCCGGGCCCTCCTCACACACTCCAATGTCCAGCGAATACTAGAGGCTGCCAGTCAATTTCAGGTGAAACAATTACTTACTATATAAATTAATGACATGCCTTTACGTAAATTCATTGACTTCCAAATCTTCTTATCCTATAAAGATATGAGATGATAAACATATCCTCAGAACATAAATAAACCTGCTAAGAAAAACATTTCCTTTTAATCTTGACACATTTTTGACGGCCAATGTGGTGTGAAGAAGTTTTATCAGATGGGTAACACGTTCTCATGTATGTCACATTGATCAAACGCATGATAATGCTTTTCTTCACTGGAAGCAAAAACTAAAATTAGCAGTATTCAAAGTTCAAACCCAACAGTTTACTTTTAATACAATATAGATGGCACTTTTATTGTGTCAAACAATGATATGCAAGTGATGCAGAAAACACATTTATTTACATTTAGAAAGACTCAGAGACTAGAAAAAGACGCAGAACGCATGCAGAACCTCAAATGGTTTTCATCACCTCACCTTTTCCACAATTCATTGGAACAAACATCTGACTAAGTAAGAATTGAGAGAAAGAGGGAAGTGAAAGTTGCACTGTTGTTTACACTTTGGATCAGTTTTCCATACAAGCTTAAATTAACCACACAGCTGTGCCACTCAGAGGGGGGGAGGCACATGTTTGTGTTTTTATACTTCTATTTTTGTGGCGAGTAATTTGAATTTTCGGAAATAATAATAAAAAAGCTATCTTGTTGTTACTTGCATGTTTTGTTTATTTTAGGGTTGCAATTTATTTAGTTTAGAATTAAATTAACATTTAGGATACATTTGGGGATATGCATTTAATAATAATAAGTTTAGTTTAGTTTAGTTTATTTATTGATACAGTACTATACAAATGAATGCAATAACAAAACGAAATATTTAATTAATAATTGAATAATCTGTAGTATCATTGTCTGATATCAATAAGCAAAAAAGCTTTTGCTAATTACACGTCCGAAAAGGGGTCGGAAGAAGTTTACACTTATTTAATCCGACCCCTTCTCCCTTTGTTTTTTGTTTTTTTTAACATCTTAATATGTTAACATACAATATCAATGTATACTTAAACCTTCCCTAATTTATATAATCATTCATATAATATATACAGGCAAGTTAGGAGAATGGTCTCTATATATTTATATATATATACATATGTACATACACAAATTCATACAAACATAAATCACTTTATGAAGCACTTTTTTTTAAATTGGGTAACAATGTTATTATTGGTAAATGCAACACAGTAAAATGTTAAAATGATTAGATTACAACAACAAAAAAGTAGAATACAAAATAAATAAAATATTGCAACATTGAGGCGCACATAGCATTTTTTATCTTGAGTTAGTTCGAGAAAACATGTTATGGCCCTCGTCAACTTTTAGGTTTCTAGAACCATGTTCCTGTTATCATGTTTCCTTTTGCACAACTCTTTTGAAATTCTAGTGCGGTTCAAAATTCTTTGAAATGTGGTTTAATCTTTTTATCGCTGACATCTTTTAGAAACACTGAACGTGTACATCAGAGTCATTTCAAAAGATCCATCTTAAAAGTTCTAACGCCTACGCTGTCATTTTTAGTTCCTACGAGTTGTGGAGGCCTGTGCTGGCTTTCTGAGCAAGTCCCTGCACCTGGAGAGTTGCATTGGGATCCTGAATCTTGCTGATAGCCATGCCTTGCCGGCCTTGACGACGAGTGCTCAGGACTTCATCACCACTCAGTTCTCCCAGGTAGTCCAGCAGCAGGACTTCCTGGAGCTGCCGGCTGATTCGCTGGAGGCTGTCCTGCAGAGGGATGACCTTGACGTGAAGTGTGAGGAGTGTGTTTTTGAAGCTCTCATGCACTGGGTGAGAGCCCAGCAGGATGAACGCTATCCTTTACTGGTCAGGTTGCTCTCACATGTGCGACTGCCTCTGTTGGAGCCTGCTTACTTTGTAGAAAGAGTTGAGTCAGATGAACTGATTCGCCGCTGCAGTGAGGCTTTTCCTTTGCTGCAAGAGGCCCGCATCTATCACCTCTCTGGCAGCGAGGTCAGTACACAGGAAGGACCACAAATGTGTTGTTGTTGTTGTTGTTGTTGTTGTGTCATCATTTCTTAATAAAATGCTAGTAGGGCTAGGCCTTTTTAGGAACATCACTTTGTCCACCAGTGAGAAGAGTCAAAGTCAAAAAGTCAAAGTCAACTGTTTTGTCAATCTTTCAGTTTGTGTGTACAGACAGAGATCGAAATACCGTTTCCCACAATGTATTTTACAAAAATACAAATATATATACAAATATGTATAAAATATGTATGTCCTATACACAATCAACAGACACATTTATACATATGCACACATTAAGATAAAAACATAACAATCAATATACAAAATAACATTCACTTCAATATCTTTGGGAATGTACATTAGTGCAAGATTCTGGAGCTGTCAAATACTAACACTGAAAGAAACAATCATTTTGTGATAAACAGTGTTTCCCACAGAATTTGATTCTATTTGTGGGGGCACCGCACCGCACCCGCCCACCCCCCCCCGGCAAGAAAAGCCAAAGGCTCCTTAACCTATTCGGGTGGTCCNAATCTTGATACAGGGTTACTTATTATATGTTGTACTTTGGAATTCCTAAAGCTTTTAGTCTACTAACCCATCATCCAAGGATAGTTTCACTATAATTAAAAACGATAAATAAATATAAATAATTATAAAAAACACGCACCCCCCCCGGCAAGAAAAGCCAAAGGCTCCTTAACCTATTCGGGTGGTCCATGCATCCACCCCCCCTCAAATAAGATAATACATGCGAGTTCATGGCTACTGTAGACAACGATATTGTTGCTCTGGGTTGCGTTGTTAATGAGTGAAACACACCGGAGTTGAGGATCCGTGGGGTTTATTCTCCCAAAAATATCATTTACAATTTACAATTCAGGCATTTTGCAGACGCCTTATTCCAAAGCGATTTACAATGACCAATTACAGGGACATTCTCCCTGGACTAACCGAGGGCTAAGTGCCTTACTCAAGGGCACACTAGTAGTGGTGTTCCAGCCAGGATTTGAACTCGCAACCTTCCGATCATCAGCCCACCTCACAATCCATTAGACTACCAAAAAAAAAAAAAATTATAATAATAATTTTTTTTTTTTATGAGATCCATTTGTGGCAGACGATATTTAATTGTGGCGGCCCGCAATGTATGGGAAACACTGAATAACTACTGCTGTGTTTCATTGTTTTATAGTTTAATGTGCTTTTTACATGTTTGACATCTTAGGTGGTCTCTGAACGAACCAAACCTCGTGTGCAGCACTATCTGTCCGAGGTTTTCCTGATCATTGGAGGCTGCACTAAAGATGAACGCTTTATTTCGACGGTCACCTGTCTGGACCCCCTCAGGCGCAGCAGGCTGGAGGTAGCCAAGCTGCCAATCACAGAGATGGAGGACGAATCACAAAATAAGAAATGGGTGGAGTTTGCATGCATCACCTTTCGCAATGAAGTGTACATATCTGGTGAGAGAGGTCGCATGTTGCATTTATTGTTATTTTTATGGAAAGGCTTAGTTACTGTGACATGTGTAGGAAATTCCCTTCAGTGCAGATGAAAGTGAAAATGTTCTCCCTCTACTGAGAATTTATGTGCCAAGTTATGTTTTCTTTTTAAAAAGTTATAACTAAAACCTAAAGTGTTATTCTCTTTTGCATCTTCATTTTGTTAGCAGTTTGTTGTGAATGGTGCTAGGCTTCTGTTATTCAAAGAATCTGATGGCTAAGTCAGTGAGAAAAGTAGAGCTGAACAGAACAACAGGAAGATGTGGTTTAGTCTGCCGTTACAGTTGTAGAGGGTTGATGTGTTTCCAAACTCAGGAACTGACGCCCCAGCCGGGGTAATTTTAACCGTTCAGAAACTTGTACACTGTGATTCTGAGTTCAGACTACTGTAGGTCACGGCATTTTAGATCAGTGTGAAAGGTCTGTGGTCTAAAAGAGCACATTTAGAGCCATAATTCAGCGAAACATCAATGTTGTATGACAGTTGTCTCTAATGTTTCCAATTGCAGGAGGTAAAGAGACACAAAATGATGTTTGGAAATATAATGGCGCCCTGGACAAGTGGATCCAGATCGAGCCCCTGACCACAGGGCGCTGGAGACACAAGATGGCCGTTCATGGAGGGAAGGTTTACGCACTGGGGGGATTCGAAGGAGTTCAGAGGCTTGATAGTGTAGAGGCTTATGATCCCTTTCACAATCGCTGGACACAGGTAAACATACAGGACTTTTATAAAAGGGGTGTTTTTGTGTAAAATTACAGCAACTGTTCCTTTAAGCAGATCTAATAATGGCCTTTATGTACAGTAGAGTCACATTTTGTAATCAGCAGCTGGAAAGTGAATACAGAATGACTTTGGGCTGTTAAAGCTAACAGATGCTGATTCTAGAGGTCTGGTTGCAGCTCCTGAACTTGCAAATATAGAATTTGAGAAATATAATTTGGAACATAATATAATGAAACAAAAACACACTCTAAAAAGAGAATATTTTTAATACATTTGTTTTAATTATCAATGTTTCTGTATATTATTACCACAATTAGATCATGTATTTATCTTTATCATTAATATGAATTTATTTATTTATTAAATATTGAAAATATTAGATCTAAACGATAACCGTTATTATTATTATTATTATATGCATAAGGTGTTAAATGATTTACATATTTTACACTATTTATACCTCACACATTTCTTTATATGCGTCTGTTTGGTTCTGCTTGCAGGTGACACCTCTTGCTGTAGGTGTGAGCTCCTTCGCAGCTTCGAGCTTTGACAGATGGATCTATGTGATTGGTGGAGGGCCCAATGGAAAGTTGGCAACTGATAAGGTTCAGTGCTGGGAACCAGGGACAGACAGCTGGGAGCTGCGGGCGCCCATCCCCATCGAAACCAAATGCACTAATGCAGTCACATTCAAAAAATGCATCTATATAGTTGGTAAGTGGATAGTAACTAAATACATGTACTTGACATGGATCTTTTCACAACAAGCTTATTCTAAACTGATTTGATAATATATTTGACTTTTCTCTCCAATATTTTTGTTTGCATGTTAAATATGATGCATTTAAATTCATGAAATACCAATACATCCAAAAGTAAATATTAACTTTAGCTAAAACAATGTAATGCTACTTACAGTACACATGCATTTAACATTCATAATAATCCAATTATATTTATTAGTATAACATTTTAGGGATTTTTGTTTTTGAAATTCTCAACACATTTTTAAATAAATTGTATATGCTTTTACTTAAATGGCATTTTCAGGGCACGTGTTTATTTCTAACAGACTATTTTTGCTTTGAAATATCACTATCTTTACGTGATTAAAATATTGAAATTTTTCCTCCACCACTGGCTTTAAATTTAGTGTGTTTCATCTTGTTATTTAAGTTTATGTTTAGTGTGTAATGTGTATAGTATGTCATCATTAAAATATAGAAGAGCAGTTTAATTGTTTTTCAATAATTAGGTTTTTGTCAGGTTTATTGGTGAGAAATGAATTTGTGCGTATATATATCTTTAATATGGTGTCTTTGTTTGCTTCCAGGTGGAGCCATGCATGCCATGTACTGCTATTCACCTCTGTCCGATTCCTGGTCCCTTGTGACCCGTCTGGGGGAGAGGGCGAGCTGCGCCATCGCTGCCTGCAACAACAAACTCTTCATCACCGGAGGACGGGATAACAAGAACCAAGTCATCTCCACAGTGATGTGCTGGGACGTTGGTCGAGGGGTGTTAACAGAGGAGTGTGTTTTACCTATGGGAGTGTCCCACCACGGCAGTGTGACACTCATGAAATCCTACACACACATACATAGAATAACACCTGCTTAAGAAGGCCAATGACAAAGACTTCTGTGAACGGACGTTGTTGTTGACAGAAAAGAGGAAAGTGACCAAAATGATGTAAATCAAGATATTGTTTAAAGCATGTCTTTGTTCTTCATTTCTATGTGTGAGACTTGAAATACTAGAAGTCAATCCCTATGTTTATCATTAACCTTTTCCACTCTGAGCCTGTTTTTTAGGTCTCAGGCTCGTAAATGACATTCCCAGAACAAATGACCATATCTTCCATTCTAAAAGGGTTAAATTAATAATCTTTTTTCTCAAAGTAATGATAAACCTGTGAGTTTGGATGTAGAAAAGTCAGAATCAATATAGATGTTTTTTTATTTTAAAGAAAATTCTGATTGAACATAGTAAAAAACTGTAAATTATAGTGTCCGTCCAAAAATTCATTTTTACTTATAATGAAAACTACCCTTGGATGATGGGTTAGTAGACTAAAAGCTTTAGGAATCCAAAGTACAACATATAAGAAGTACCCTGTATTTGTTCTCGTTTTAATGCCATTAAACACGTCTTTTGATCAGATTGACAGCTACATTGAGACGATCTCCCGTAAAAGCTCCGTAAAGGTACGTGTTGTGATGTCTGTGTTTGCTTCCCCTGTCGCGAGTTCGGATCGCTCAGTGATGATATACCTATATAATCTGTGGAGTCTCAGTTTTAATCGGATATATTGTATGTGAGTTACGATAAGTAATAAGGGTATTTTTATCTTGAATTCTGTGCCAAAGTCAGTTTGCATTTTTTCGCTCAGGGATCATTAGACGCTTCTTAGGAGACTTGTGTTTTGTTTTGGTAAAAATGGTTCATATCTTCAGTTTCATGTTAAGAAGCCCTGAGACACAGTCTCGAAAAAAAAACGTTGGGGGGCTCCAGGGTTTAAAAGGTACAGTACAATGTAATATAACAGCAGTCATTGTTAAAACTGAATTGTATACTGATAAAATAATATGTACAACAGTTGCCTTTAAAAGATGAATTGGTATAGAGTTCAATACTTTACCAATAATTACATTGTTTTAATGGAGTCTACAGTTGCAAAGACACACTAAGCAATGACAGTTGCTAACATAGAAACAATGTTTTTTTGAGAAAACATGATGCATTTAAACGACAAAAAATATCCAAATCAACAAGAGGTGTGCTTATAGCACCTGGTGTTGTTTACACGCACGCACGAAAGCGCACACACACACACACACACACACACACACACACACACACACACACACACACACACTGGGGGCGGCTCTTCTATCACCTTCTTCCTCGCCTTTCACAATTGGTTTCAGCTGAAGAAGTCCTTCAGGCCTGCCGGTGTGTGTTTGTTTGGGCTGTGTGATTTTGCATGCATGCATGTGTGTGTGTGTGTGTGTGTGTGTGTGTGTGTGTGTGTGTGTGTGTGTGTGTGTGTGTGTGTGTGTGCGTGTGTGTGTGTGTGATGTTTTACTTAGAATAGACATACAGTGTGGCTCTCACTCACTCTAATGAAATCATCCCAGGCTACATTAATCCCTCCTGAAGGCCACTGTCAAAATAACAAGCAGCCAGGATTCTTTAAAGCGAGCTATCTGTCTTGAACAGGTGAGAGATATGTGTGTGTAGGTGTTCTTATACATGTGTGTTTAAGACGTGCATATATACTGACGAAAGAGTTCTAATTAAACATGTAATTGAACTTGTGTTATAGTCTCCATACCTCTTCTGTGGCTGGGGCAGATCCCCCTAGCCGCTGTCAGCCTCCTCTCCAGATCCTCATCCCTGCTGGGGGTCACCTGGATGCCCACTTCCACCGGAATGGCCCTTCCGCTCAGCTCCAGCGACCTGGGAGAGATGGAGATGCCCCTGTCCCTGCCAGTCTCCCCAGGCTTGGAGAAGGACCCCGGTCCCCCTCGGAGCCCTCGGCACAGGCGGCGCTTGTGCTCGATGAAAACCAGGATATCGCCCAATGGGAAGTTGGTCTGGCACTGGCCGCAGGTCAGCATGTCATGCTCCCCGGGGCCCACCCTCCGAGGGCTGGGGGTGGACGGCTGCGGAGAAGGAGATCCCGCCCCTGAGTCATGATTGGCCTCTACTGCTGGGAAAAAAGAAAGAAGAAGATGTACAAACATTTTTTTTTTTAAAGAAAGACAAAAAAGACACAGGCAAGTTTAGTTTTACCTGATAAGAGCCAGCCCCCCATACTACACGAGATCATTGCATTCACAATTGTGTCACTTTCATGCACTCTGTAAAGCTACTCTGCTGAGACAAACACCTGCACAGCTTATCCAGGAGAGATCTGCGTGGGCGGGACCCAGCAGCACATACTCTCAAAATGTGTGCATGTGCTACTTTATGTATGTGTGTGTGTTTGTGGCCAGGAAGCTATTCATCTCGGTGCATGCTGGGTTTCCGGTAAGGGCCTTTGCTACACTAAGCTGTCATAGCTAGTCGGCTGCTTTCACCACGTGGGATTTGTGCAGTAAAACAAAGTGTATCGTAGCAGAGGCCACAGCCACCACCGGCGTGTGTATGTGTTTCAGTGTGTGTGTGTTATCTCGGAATGAGACAGAGAAAAGATGTCTAAATGTTGGAGGAGATCACAGGTGAGTATGAACACACTATTCTCCACAGACAGAAAATCTATAAAGCCAAACCCGAGGTCCTGTTAAGAGAGTAAATCTCATTCTTCACAGATCTGACACGGTCATTAATAACCATTACACATTCTTCCCCGCCACCTCCCCTATGGCGGAGACTCAGTCCCTCAGCTTAACGTAAATCCCTCATGGACAACTTCAATTTTTTTCCTTTTTTAAATACTACCCTGATGTACCAGAAAATGTGTCCTCTTCTTTAAAAAAATAAAACCCTGAGGAAATCTGAAGCTCCAGATACTCTAGGGGCGTCTGAGTGAGCGGGTACCCAGGGAGAGATGTTGATGCCTGGGAGAGGAGGAGAGGAGCGCCTGCCTGTCTCTGCAGCTCCTCCACTTTTATTACCCCGCATCCCCCGCACCCCTCCCCTTTTTCGCCTCTCTTCTTCTCCAAACATGACACCCTAATAATTGCAAAGATTAGACAAAGAGGGTGTGTGTGACTGCCAAGGCACAC